TCTCAAACCTTAAAATATCTAACATTTTTTAAATGAAATGAAAAACACATTCAAAGTACTCCATGGAAATCAATATATTTTGGCAGAAAGAAGTAAGTGTATAAAGTGTATTTTCTTCTGGGATACATTTTCCAACTCCACAAGGATTGTGTTGGTAGGAAAAAGCCAGGACCCTGGAGCATTGGGTGGGGTATGGCAGAGTGAGATGGTGAGGGATGTGAAAGAGAGGATAGTGGAAAACAAAGAAATGAATATTGAAGTTCTGAATTGTTATTTGTTTAATTCTAAAAGTGAAATGGGCCTGGGAAGTTTTCTGGTTTTAAAGTGTGTAACATATTATCCAGTATATATAAGGACAGGAATTCAAGTTAAATGAATGGTTTTGCTCTAAATCACTTAAGTGACAACAGGGATTCATATGTTCATATGATGTTCACATAAGAGTAATTGCATTTCAAATCTGGAAATGTTCTTTTACACTGTTCTTCCCCTTTTCCAATTCAACCTTGATACCACACATCAGAACAAATTATATTGTCTTAAACACAGGAAATGCTCATTTGTAGTATTCTCACATTGTTGCATCCTAGCACATCATAATGTACACATATGGAACTCATAATACCTTCTTCATCCCTTCCACCTATATATAAAAATGACATAGCAGTATAAACCCTCCAACTAAATGACTTTTGCCGCCACACATTTTTCATTCCATAGGTTTATTTTGTTTCCACCCTATTCTACCTTTTTTCTATTGTCTTTTCTAGTGCTTTTTATGACTCTATATCAGTTCTTTTACATTTAACAATTTATTCTTCAAACATAAATCATGTGTATATTTTAACTTCAATTCATGAGTGGAATATTTATTAATACTATTTAAAACTATGCTATGTGAGCATATATATACACATATGTAGAACATACACACCATGGAACACTATGCAGTTGTAAAAAGTAACAAGATCATATCCTTTGCAGGGACGTGGATGAAGTTGGAAGCCATTATCCCCAGCAAACTAATGCAGAACAGAAAACCAAGTACTGCATGTTTTCATGTATAAGAGAGAGCTAAATGATGGGAACACATAAACACATGCGGGCAAACAACACATGCTGGCATCTCTCGGAGAGCAGTGGTGGGAAGAGGCGAGCATCAGGAAGAATAGCTAATAGATGCTAGTCTAAATACCTAAGTGATGGGCTGACTGTGCAGCAAACCACTATGATGCACCTTTGCTTGTGTATTAATAACAAACCTGCACATCCAGCACATGTACCCCTGGACTTAAAATAATAATTGAAAAACATTTTTAAAAAGAGTAAATTAACATTTGGCACATAGCACATTTGCCACTTTCCTTCTCTTCATTTATAATATTGTGTTCCAAGTAATTTCCATCTGTAAAATTCATATTCAATTTCTAAAGCCTAATTCAAGTGATACTTCCTCTATTATTCTCCCTATTCCTCACCTAGAAGCATTTTTTTTCCTTTCCCTGAACATGAATTGTGCCTTTTTCAGGGATGAAAACAATCATATCTTCCTTACACCAACCCCAATCATATCTTCCTTATGTCAACCTCAAAGCCAAAAAAAGCTTATCTTTATAATTTCTATAAAATTTAGCATGATTCCTAGCATATTGTAAATCATGAATATATACTTTCTAAATATATAAATACAATATGCACATATTAGTCTTCTAAATAATTATGTTTATGATTGTCACATATATATTTTGTGTATTTTCCGTTGAATATAATTAATACAGCTCTGATTCCTAAATGCTATCAGTGAATGCATAAGATAAGCAGCATTGTTTGTAAGTTAAGGTAGAAAGTGAGTGAGAACATTGTTATTTGATCACTGCTATAACAATGACACCAGTTACTCTCTGTTGGAAGCTTGGTATATGCCAGCAATCTTCTGTGTGCTTAAACGCCTTATATACTTATATTCTCATTAAACTCTCTGAAGATCAGCTATTTATCATATGAAAAAATAGATTAAGAAATATCAAATAATTTGCCTAAAGTTGTACAATTCAAATGTAAAAACAACAGAAACACACATATACTAACCAAAATCTCTTTTAGACTCCATGTTATACTGCAAAGTGATATTTGAGAAATCTCTAGATACAAAATAAATTTTATAATATGGAAAATATATTTAATTACTATTTTTCACCACATATTTCACCCAATTCCTTAAGTCACTTAAATGTCAGGCGAGCCTCCCTGTCCTTGATTTGAATTCCACAATTCTATAAACTTCAGAAATGTAAGCACTTTCAAATATGCCTAAAAATAAAAGTTGAAATTTAATTAAGAGAGGCTTATACCATTTATAGTCTCTCTTCCCTTTGGGTTTCTGCTTCCATTCCATTTGTAGTGATTTTGGGGAAAAAAAAAAAAAGTTAGCCTAAACATGAGATCACACATATACAAACACATGCACACAAATTAAAATTATTAATATTCTGAAAAAAATTCCCATAAGCATTAATGCATTATTTTTAAATGACTATTGAAAAGTGCCATTGGAGACCATAGCAGAAGTAACTATTCCTCAATGAGCATTATCTGCTTTTTGGATCCCATCTAATATCCTTCATCCTACCATCTTTGCTCCCCGCATCACATTCTTCTTTAGAATAGAAAAAAAAAATTCAGAACTTCTAATATAGATGTTAAAATAATACAATTATTATACATAGTTTTAATTATCTTTTCTAACATACTAGTTACCTAGGAAACACCAGCAAAAGAAAATATAATTAACATGTCTTTTCAAGTATATTATTGGAATTGACAAAGTACAAGTGTAAAACTACTTTCAACGATTACATTTTTCTCTAAACTTGATTGAAGTTAATGAAATTGCTATTAGGTCAACACTTTTCTATAATGCCTGATGTTAGACATAGTTATTAGGGTAAGTGTACATAGTAAGAGCTTCAGAATAATATAACTAATATACAACCTAATTCTTCATATAGTTTAGTAATTTGAAACAAGATGAGTATTTTTTCAGTTAAATTCAAAGTCTTATCTTTCAGTGTCTATTGTTCCCATCTGTATGGCCATGCGTACCCAGTGTAGAGGAAGTGAAGCAGAAGAATTAAAAAACTATTATAACTGTTGGTTGGATACTGTGCTTACTACCTAGATGATGAGATCAATTGTACCCCAAACCCCAGCAACATGCACCACACCTGCTCATGTACCTCTTGAATCTAAAATAAAAGTAAAAGTTTAATAAATTAATTAATTAAATTAAAGATAGGATAATTTTTAAAAATTGTCTTTCAAAACTCTATAGCTTTCAGAAAATGTCAGAGAATTTAAATCTTGTTTGTTTTATTGTTTACTTACAAATCTTATTCTTAATACTTTTAGCAATATTGGTGATATCATAGTGAAATATCAAATATTTTTAAACAGATGAAATGAATAAATAACTTGCCACATAGAACAAAGATTCAAATTTATTTTGAATGAAGTCTTCTTACTTTTTTATCCTAAAAGAACCAGATTATGTCTGTATGTGCATTTGTGTTTGGGGTGTGTGTGTGTGTGTGTTTTAAATGCACAATCACAAACCTTGTTAAATGCCTGAAAAAATATGAATGCAGTTATAACCCTAAATTTCTTAACTCTGTTTATCTCTAGTTCATGTAGAATTCCTGTCTTCTGAAGAATGTGATAAAAATTTACTTTGGCATCACCAGACATTTTGTCCAACATAACCATTAGCATTACCCTGGTGTTCTTCCTCTCTTGCCCTGCTCACCATCACCTCTCCTTAAAATGTCCACTCCTGTACCTATGCAACAATCTTGCATGTTCTTCACATGTACCCCCAAACCTAAAATGCAATAAAATAAATAAATTGGGGAAAAAAATGTCCACTCCTAGCAAAGCTAATTGCAGTTTTCTGTTCTATGTCATTGTTGTGGCTGTCTACATAAGAACACGCTTGGTAAGAACAAATCTTCGTCTGCATTTGAAGAACTACAATAAAAATATACACAAAGATAATATGACAGAATCTTCTTTGAAAAGAGAAAGAATTCTTCCCTGCCCTCTCTTATTAGCGTGCCTCCTTTATAATGCAATAGGCCCCGTAAAGGCCTGGGCTTTTTATTTGACAGTGCATCATTGCAGGTCTTCTGACACTTGGAACTAGATACACGTACCTCTGAAATTACCTCATGTTTCTCTCAGAGTGTAAAGGAGATAATCAGGAGGCACAGCCGTTTGTATCTCAAGTACATGTAGGTAACCACCCATATAGGTATAGAGGAAGGAGAGCTAAGCAGAATCCTGGCACAATTCTTGCCTGAAGAATATCTGTTTATAGCATTACTACTCAGTTATTTCCTTTTATATAATTCTCTATATATAATCATATATTAGTTTATAGAATGGATACCTAAAGAATATCTTACCACTCAGTTATTTCCCTATATATATATATGTATATATAACTATATCTTAGTTCATATCGAAGGAATGCCTAAAGTAGACACAGTACAGAGCATGAATTAAGGAATAAGCAGCTTACAGTCAGAGGAATGTCTGGAGCGGACACAGTGCGAGCATGATTTAAGGGAAAAATTGTTATACCAGGGCAAGAATCCACGGCCCAGGCAGCAGTGTTCAGTATTGTAAAGATACCTGCGGTATGGCAGGTTTGGGGCAACAGCCACTCCTCCTGATAAAAAAGTTGTAGGACCTTGCTCCAGTTCTTGTGGTAGGCTGCCCTCAGACTGGCAATTCCTAGAGAACCCAAGGGCCCCAAACCCCTCCGGATAATCGCACCTTGGTGACTGTGAACTTTATCAGCTCTTGTTACTGTGCCCTGCTCAAAAAGCATCCTCCTATAGAACTCATTGGAAGCTGCCAGCAGGTGGCGGTACACACTGACAGCTCTGTCACTGCTGTGTGACTTACGCATCATCCTATAGATATTCTTAGCAGTAGCATGCCATAGATAGAGGTATAGCACACTGCACCCTCTTCACTGTGCATGGTCCACCTCCATGCCTCGGTGACCTAATGGGGGTGGACCCCTTACTGCACACAGCCCACTTCCTTGCCTCAATGACCTAATGGAAATGGACCCCTCGCTGCGCACTTTCCACCTCCTGGCCTAGGTGACCTAATGGGGGTAGACCCCTTGTTTTATTGCTCACAACTTTATCACTATCCTTAAATATGACTTCACTCACTACTCTGCCCCCTAAACTATACACAATAAATAGAGATGTTTCTGGACATTCGAGATCTCGCTTGACTCCACTTATAGGCGGTGTGGCCCCCCTGAACCCAGCTGCGTTTTCCTTGTACTTCTGTGTCCTGTCTCTTTATTTCTCGGATCCTGCACCTCAGCACAGCATAAGGGACACCCCACACCCTGTGGGGCCCTTAGCCCTACAGTAGATAAAAGTTTTAATTGTTCCATTACTTTACTATATATCTTTGTGTAAAATACTGACCAGACTTCATGGCCACTTTATGTCACCTCGAATAAATACGCCAACATTAAATGTTTCTTCTCTCTTTACTGCATTGATTGGGAAGAGTCTTTTGCTGGCAAGATTATTTCCTGAACCTGCATTACTCAAAGGAATAAGGATACCTAGTAATCTTTCTCATAGTCAATTTCTCCATGAAACTAAATCACTTTTCTAAATTCCTTCATTCATTCAGGACTGTACCATTATCCCCACGTTTTCCCCCAACATATTCATCTAAGAGAGAGAAAAAAATCTATATTTTTGGAGAGGTTTGACCATGAAATGCTATGACTTTCCTGTAAATATTAGATATCATTTGAATTATTTTGAATAAAGCCTGCCACTCAACATGTTATACTCTAGGTGTTAAAAAAGGCCTCTGCCTTAGGCATTTGTGTCATAGTAAGGTAATTGTTTTGTGTTAAATCATCTCTTTATCTGATTATTGATAATTCTGATCTATTGTTTCCTTGAAAATGAACCCCATTGTTCTGTTAATGTAAGAATATGCACAGACCATTCAAGTGGTATGGCTTGATATTTTAACTTTGGATTTTCCAGTGCCCAGATGTAGATTTCACTTTTCCATCCTGACTGAGATTTCAGTGTTGAGGATTACATCAATATGGTTTCAGTCTATACACCAACATCTATGAGCTGTGAGTAAAACGAATTAAAATTTTTAAGATTCAGTAAATTCACCTGCATAAAAGGAGATATTATTAGTATCTAATACACACGGTTGTGGCAAAGATTAACTGGCAAGATGCAAGTGGGTCACATGGAATAGTCTCAGGAATAATTCTCAATTTATAGCGATCAGTACCATCTCAATCATTCTTGTCATCGTTATGTGACATGGTAATCGCCCCATAAACTGTATACCTCGACCATACCTTGGCTTTCTGTTGAAATTGCTCTCTGTAACCCTAATGTGACAGGCAAGCAGTCCAGACCCACACCATCTTGGCCCCTGCGACTTGTAATAAGTAACTAAGGTCTGTAATTTCCACCCTACCCAAGCAATGTGTAACCTAATGCTTATCTTGACTTCTGTGAGCCACTTAAGCAACAATTCGAATGTCCAAAGTCCCCTGACCCTCGGAATGTCCGAAGCCCCTCACTCTCATCTCTGCCCAGGAGGTGATTTATGGAATGTCCAAAGTCCCCTGGCCCTCTGAATGTCTGAAGCCCCTTACCCCCAACCCCACTCCTCACCCTCACCCCCGAGGTGGTTTACCGGCATAAAAGGTCTTGACACTCTCCTTTTGGGGCCACGAGTTGGTGAGATGCGAGTCCTCCATGGCCACTGGCAATAAAGACCCTGCAATTTGGCATACTTTTGTCTTGGTGTTGACTTTCTATGCTCACTCCAGTACAACAGTCAGTTCCAGTAGCAAATTTAAGTGATTTCCGTGAGAATATGGCCAGCCTACTTCAGGAAAAGTAAGTTTATACCATATATATTTACCTCTTGGTATTAAAAGTAATAATGTAACATGTACATAACTTTATTATAGTTAAGTACTGCAGAATAAATGTAAAAATAAAGTGTATCTTATACTTGATGTATGGCATTACTGTATTCTACAGCAATTAAAGTAGTGATACATACCATTATTTATATATATTTACATTTAATAAAATAATAAGAATTTTCTCAAATGGACAGCTTTTTCCTTTTAATACAATCAATACATTTTATTATAAATATTTAACTGGTTTAAAATATATGATAAGAAAAAAATGTGTGCAATGAGAGTGGAAAATGGATAACTTATTTAATTTATTTGAATCGCAGTCTTTTTTGGTAAAATGGACTAGTATGTAGGACTATAATGTTAATTAGACTTTATAAAAACTGAGGTCCCCAAACAATAACTAAAAAACAGAGAAATAGTGCACAACATATTCTAATCTATCAGCTTCAACATTTCCCTTTATATTTTGACAAGAACACAGTCCCAGTTGTATTATTATTTATTCAGTTGTCTTCTTCCTAAAAAAATAATTTGAAAAGATTAAGAATGGAGCTCCACTTCATTATCGTCAACCAGACACTCCTGCTTCCTCGTGTCCTTTCCTCTAGTGCTGGTGCTTTAATATGCAAAATGACTTCTCTTAAAACAATTGTTATGCCTACTAAGGCACTTTCTAATACATACTCTCCATTTGCAAATTACTTGCTATAAAAATGTAAGTTTACTTTCTCCCCTCCCATCATATGTGATCCTGAAACAATAAAAAAAATTTTTAAACAAATACGGTAGAACCAAGGCCAACATAAATCAACTGTAAAATGAATTATTTAAATTCATTTTTAAATTTAAATAATTTAAAATTTGTATTCAGGATGAGAAATTTTATTTAATTTATTTGATAGATGCTACCAGAGAAGTCAACTAAATATAATAAAAAGTAAAAATTTTAAACTTTAAAGAAAAATTGAAGCAAAATGCATTATTATGAAGAAGTGAAAAGACTGATTAGGTAAACATCATGGCTCAATAGAGTACATCACCAAGAAGATAAAAGAAGTAACAAAAAATGCATGCTGATAGTATTTATATAAAATATTATACACTGCACTGATTTTATAAGTGAGAATATAAATTCAGAGAGGTTAAGTAATCTGTCCAAATCTTTCCTCAAACAGATTGAAAGGTCTGAAGCAATTCCCTTGGCATGCATAATCTATTCAATGTAGGAAGCATTTTTATTGTTTACATAAATACTCTATTTTGAATGGTATCAGAATTACATAAGTCAGCCTTTGATATCTGAACACTCAAAATATAACTATCACTATTATTTTCCAGTTTGAGGTTATTACTCTCTATGTTTATCATATACTATATGAATGTTCCATTCTGAAAATAAATATAGTGTTTTTATTCCCATGAACTTGGAAAGTATTTTAAGACAGTTTTTAAAATATTTACTAATAACCTTTTATTCTCTCTATTTTAGCTCAGCTCTGGCAACCAATATTATTCTGAAAAGCCTAACTAATTATAAGTAGAAAGAAAATGTTTTAAGTAGGAAAATATCAGTGGAATATACAACTAACACCAACTAAAATAGAACCTAATTCATTTTCATGACATGAAATTATGCTGTTTCATCTTTACTGAATGGTTTCGTGTAATTTTCTTTTCTAGTTCTAATAACTTTGGATTGGAGCTTATACAGCACATCTTTTTATAGCTTAAACAGAATTCTCTAAATATGATCTCAATCTGCATGCCTATGTTATCTTAAAGAGCCAATTGCTTTTCCTAGAAAAGGCAAACTTTCAGATGAAGGAAAATATAGATAGAAAGCCCTGACTTCTACATTTAAATAATCATTCTCTTCTAAACACTGAATCCACTGAATCCCCTTTTACAGAATGGATAAATTAAATCTTCTGTAGTTCTGCAAAGTCCTAAAAGAACAAATTCATTAGAAAAACTCAGGCTTTTTTTTTTTTTTTTATTACATGACTTTTTATCTCCTAGATACCATTGCATGAATTTGGGCTCTGCTTCCATTGTTCTGTCAGCTGATAATACTCTTACTAATATTTTAGTATCACTCTTTACACTGATTATATTTTGTCACCCATAATTTTACTAATTAATTTTTACTGCTTAAAATACAAAAAAAAAAAAGACATCTTAAAAATACAACAAAAGCATTTTAATTATAGAGTTTGAATATGTTATGTAATTAGGTCTTCCTTCGATTTTTTAAAATGTAATGCTTGATTCAAACACCAACATATATTAATTCCCCTCAAGTGGTTTCACTCATTTATTCATAGTTCTCTGACTTTTCATCTCCATCCTTGTCTCACTGATACTAACTCTTAAAATATGCATGACATTCTTATAATGTTTGGATATACTCAAATGTTGTGCTAACACGGCTGCTGCTATGGTGAAGATAAGAAAGTGGTAAACCTTATGACAAAGCCTGTGTTTTAGGATAAAGTGTATCCAAAGGAATCGAGTCACTATGAAATTCAGAAACCCAGACTGGGTAATATTAGATGTAGTGTTTATATTGTCCTAAGTTCATAAGAACAGTTGAAATTTCTTGCATTTTATTATTTATATTTGTCCACTCTGGCATTAAACCTGATTCTGCATGAATGTACTGCAATGTTTTAATTACAGGACATGTTTCTTTTTATTATTCTTCATTTAAAAACAGTTTTTGACTCTTTTATTATACCTGTTCATTCAGATAAAGTTTATAATATTTTCATAAATTTCAAAAATATATCATTGAAATTTTATTAGTGATTTAAAATACAAATTTATGGATTACCAAGGAAGATAATAGGATTTACATGTAATTGATTAGTCTGTTTCACCGATTATTTTCAGATTATTTTTTCAGTACTATGTAAAATACTGTCTGTTTTTGTAAAAGTTATGAAGGTATATTATATTTTAATTTCAAATGTTTCCTAAGTATGATTGAGCTCAATGGCGATGCACAGAAAGCATCATTTTATTAGCATTATAAAATGTAAATATTAACTGTGAAGTAATACAATTAGACAAAGACTAAAAATATTAATATTGGATGATGAAATTGTAGATTTAAATTATCTGATTTTGTGGTACTCTTTTGTTTTACATGATCCTGACATTTTCTGTTACTTTTTTTCCCCATTTGATATGGTTTGGCTCTGTCCCCATGCAGATCTCATCTTAATTTGTAGTTCCCATAATCCCCACGTGCCATA